AAAAAAAAAATAGATTTATTGGCTCTCCCTGGTGGTGCACAGCACTATGAAGCTATTGTAGCCACTGAAGCATGAGTTTGATCCCCAGTCAGGGAGGTGACCCACATGGCATGGCAGACTTCTCCTGACCTGCCCACTGCTCCCCTCGGCTGTATATTTCAGTCCATCTACCTGTTCTGCTCCCCACTCTATGTGGTGAATCCTCTTACACACTCCCCCCCGCCCCCCACATCTCTGTCCCAGTTCTGTATGCATAAAGAAGTAAATTTTTTAGAAAAATAATAGATTTATTCATTTTTGTGTAGAAGAATTGGGGTATAGACAGATGTGGGGTGTGAGAGGATCTACTAGAGATAGAGTAGGAAGCAAAACAGGCACATTTACTGAAATACACTGCTATGGAGGGCAGCAGGAGACACAAGCGAGGTCTGCTGTACCATGTGTGGGTTAGCTCCCTGGCCAGGGAACTAACTCAGGCTATAGCAGTGATAATGGTGAATCTTAACCCAGGGCCTCCAGGGAGGCCCCAGAATTATTATTGACTGCAACAGTGCTACTACAACAGTTTGAGCTACTAAGAAGAGGACGAAATCTCAAGAATGATGTTTCCTATTGATTATGTTGCCTGCCTTTGACAGTTCTTTCTAAAATAGGTGGAGTGAACTTTTATGTTCACTTGTATAACATTTTCTTAGTTAAATGCTATTCCTGTATACCCATTTCAGTTTTCATAATTGTAAAATGAGGGGATCAGATTTGATGTTGGCCTTTAATTTGCTACCCTCACAACATTAGCCAAGTTAGTTTCTGACTGTTGTTAACTGGAGATTTTTCTTTAAATTATTGTTTTAAAAAGGAAACTTTATGTTCCTGCCATAAATGGAAAGTGATATATGATTAAATAAATAATGCATAATTTATATCTGCTTGTGTATCAGTCAGAATCACCTCATTTGCCACCAATGCCAGATATCCACACCATGGGAAACAGCCTACTTATTACCCTCTTGTTATGTGTTGGTTGTAACCATTTGTGGTTTTCTTTTCTTTATTTTTCTTTTTTCCTTTGTTCATATAATTGAGATTTCTTGTTAGAATTTCTTGTTTGTTGCTTCCCCTGTCCACAATTAAACAATGACTATTTTGGTTGGTTGTTTTTTTGTTTTTTTTTAAACATCTTGTGGATATTTTAGTCATTTCTGTAGTCATTTGCTAGTCTTCTAGATTTAAATTTTATGCCTTAATTTACATTAAGAAATGAATATCTATCATAAATATGATGTGCTCCTGTGCTGAGCATTGGTTTTCAATACTGAAAAGTACCATTATTCAGGAATCAGTTTTTGTGTGACCATCTTTTTAGATAAGCATTGGTACAAAATGGAGCAGCTTTTTAGAATGCAGCTCTTTGAAACTGAATTTTAAATGTGTGTTAGTCTTTTTCTTTAGATTTCTTCAGAGGCCCCACAGTATCAAATATCCGCCTGGCTGGTTTAGAGTATGTTCTGCACTTCACTGCACTGAATGGGAAGATTTACTTTCGAAGCTATAAGTAAGTGCATTTCTTAGCATGTTTTTGTTAATTTCCGGGGTTAGCATTTTAGTGTGACTGTTTTATAGAGTTCAAACTTACTATTGGTATCAGGCTAGAAGTTTGTTTTGGAGAGTGTGCAGAGTAGCAGTGGCAACAGCTTCGTGCTGCCCTCCCAAGCCTGTCATTCCTCTGCTAAATTTTCCTTCTGAACCCTACTTTTCTAGGTCACCAGAGCATCTAATTTATGCTCCACTTTTTCTGAGCTCAGAATACTAATCAGTCTTGACCCTTCCTGGTTTTATATAGTAGTTCCTTATTTTTCTTGACCCGATTTTAGAGCACTAAGTCGCAGTTCTGTTAGACCAACCAAAGCAAATCTCAAAACCCAGTCTGAAAAATGGAGTCTGAAAGGAAGAAGATTCGGTAACTAGATTCCTTTTACCTTCCTTCTGTCACGTCAGTCTCTACTTCTTCCTCTACCACAAGATATAAATTAATCCTTATAAGCTGATTTTTTGTAGTCGTTAAAAAATTTAATGACATCCTTCTAATGAGGTAAGTGAATTTTTTTTCTTTATAAAGTGTTGTCACTGCTGATTGGAGTCCACATTTAAGTGGAGAACCCATTAACTTCCACAGACTGCCTTTCTTTATATACTGAATTCAGACTGACCCATGCTGAGCTTTTGACATGGCAGTGCAGTCCAGGAGACAACAAACCAGCATCTTCTGGGCAGTAGTGCTGTTTGTGCAAACATTGTGGACTTCAGCATTACATCCATGGTTTTTAATTTTGTTTTTTTCCTTCGTATGATTACAGGGAAATACATGGTTGACCAGATTTTTGTTCAGTGAGCATTTAAATGAAAGTAAATATTTACCTCTGTGGTCAATAATTTCCATCTTTATCTCATCTATATTAAGTTGAAACTAACTAGTTCTTTTTGCCATATAATTACAACCAGAATTTCTTTCTCTTTTCTTCTTGTTTGAATAATCATAAGCAAAATACAATACAATATCCACATGATTACAGTATGTAATTTTAATTAGTCATTTTAGGTAGTTGAACTTCATTAGTCTGTTCTTTGACTTTCCTAAATTGACGTCGGGGGTTTTTAAGAATATATTATATTGTGATATAGGTGACTCCTATGTAGAGAACAAGAAATAAAAGATGGTAAGTGGGCATAATAGGTAGAAAGAGTTAAAAGATACGAACTTCCAGCCATGAAGTAAGTCAGTCAAGTGAATATAACGTACAGTATGGTCACTATATTTAATGCTGTATTACATATCTGAAAATTGCTAAGAAAATAACTTTTTAAATATTTTAAATTCTTTTGATTTGCCACTGGTATATAGTAATATAAAAGTTTTTGGGAAACACCTTTTTACCTCTAAGTGGATACATATCTCACTGTAACCATGAGATCTTAAAAGTTCTTCTCACAAGAAAAAGAACAGTTTTATCAATATATGGTGATGTATAATTTACAAGATGCATTTTGATGATCATTTTGTTGTTTATACAGGCTTCTGTTTTATTACTTAAACTCCTTGTCTGGGATCTTTCTAACATATGCTGATACTTTATTTCTGAATATTTCTCCCCCTAAAGCCTAATCAATGCCATAGCAAAGGCTTATATGGTAATTACACAAATTCAAAGTACAATTTGAACAAGAGTGGTAACGTCACTCTTCTCAAGAAGTAGGCAAATAATATTTAAAGATATACCAAAATTATCAGTTAACATCTAATAGCCTAAGCTCATTTGAGAGATAAGTAACTGGACTCTGTTTGTCTCTCTATCTTGTACCACATCACCCTGCAGACTGACAGCAGTTTTGACTTAAAACCTGTAAGGGTGAGAAAAGAAAGAAAGAGAAGTTGGGATTTGAGATGGACATTAGCTATCTGATGGGAATTTTTGCTTAACTGGAGGTAGTTGAATTGACATGTCTATCTTTATGGGAGGAAAGTGCAGTGTGTGTGAATGGGATGAGAGTAAACCAGTATGAGAGTGCGCATATATATGTAGTGATTCATGTTTATAGATGTTTCATAAGCATAGCATGATCCCTCAAATCATCTATAAGTTTTCTATTAATACATTTCCTCTCTGAGAAAGAGTAAAGGATTGATAATAATACCTAAGATCTAGAATTCACTGTTAAAATTTCATGAAGAGAAAGGATATAATTTCATCTGCATCGACAATATGGCAAATAGCAACAAATATAGTTCTTTGGAAATAATCTTAAATTTATATACACTCAAAAAGGTATATTACTAGAAGATACTTGCATACATGGGAAGATACTTTTGAGGAGTTTTGCTACATAGAGTGGTACTTAGTGATTGGAATCCACAAGGCATGCCCTAACCTGTTCTATATTGATGTTTTCCATTTAATTGCAAATTAGCATTTTAAATGTAGAGAAAGTGAAAATTGATACATAATTTTCTGGATATTTAAAGTTATCTACTGAACATGTCTTTTTTTTTTTTTTTTTTCAAAGATTTATTTATTTGTGCATGCAGAACTGGGGTACAGGCCAGAGCCTCAGGGGCAGCGAGAGGCTTCACCAGAGAGAGTGGGGGGAGCAAAACAGGCAGATCTACTAAGTACACTACTGAGGGGAGCAGCGGGTGGGCCGGGAGAGGTCTGCCACGCCATGTGGTCACCTCTGGGGCAGGCGGGAATCGAACTCATGTTGCAGTGGCTTTAGCTTCTTAGTGCTGTGCTTTAACCTGCTGCGCCACCAAGGAGGGCCCCCACTCTATCTTTGATAGGTTTCCAGATCCAGAGCTCTTTGGACGTATGGTATCCAGAAAGTCATAGTTTTGTTATTTAATATTTTTTTGTTTATTCTGATCTATTGAGGTGAGTGAATTTCTGAACTTTAGGGGAAAGATGATACTGAATAAATCTTAGAGAAGTAAGAATTTGTTAATTATATAAAAAAAGTCTCAAAGATATTTTAAATTATTTTTATACTTTTGTAGATGTGTAAATAAAATAAGGTCACAGGATTTCATTTCTTAGAATTGTCTATCATGTCAACAAGAGTGTATATTTTTATTTTTAAAAATACAGAAATCAAAGTATATACTTGGCTTAAATGCAAGAAGTTTAGCCTTTTTAAACTTTTTATTCATTATATGGCATAACATATGTTATGAACAATGTTTGGAGAGAGATGGAGCTTTTATCACTGTCAAAACAGTATTTCTTCTTTCCTATTTCATAAAGGTTGCTATTGAAGAAATCTGGTTGCAGAACACCACGGATTGAATTGGAAGAGATGGGGCCCTCATTGGATCTGGTTGTGAGGAGGACACATCTGGCATCAGATGACCTTTATAAGTTATCTATGAAAATGCCAAAAGCCCTCAAGGTATGTAATTTGCAAATTAGTGCCACATTTCCGTGTTTCTTCCACTCTTCTTTCTAAAATAGATTTGCATGGTATTATATTAAAACCCAGATACATAAAGAAAGAGAGCCACTCAAAAGTATAATGATTCATATAGTTCAGAAATAAGGTAGATGTTTGTTTTTGTTTTTTAAAGATTATTTATTTATGCATACAGAACTGGGGTACAGGCCAGAGGTGTGGAGGATGAAAGGATTCACCAGAGACAGAGTGGGGAGCAGAACAGGCAGATGGACAGAGATACACTGCTGAGGGGAGCAGCAGGTGAGACAGGAGAAGTCTGCTGCGCCATGTTGGTCACCACCATGTCTGGATATCAAACTCATGCTGAAGCAGCTGCAGCTAGCTTCATAGTGCTGTGCTTTAACCCCTTGCACCATTAGGGAGGGCCCAGAAATGAAGTATAGTTTGAGGTATGCTTGAGAACTTTATGGCAGCCAAAGCTGAGCATTGTGAAGAGATATAGAGTACAGAATGAATAACATACTTTTATAAAATATGTTTTTATTTTTGAATTAGTTTTATTTATTTTGAGATTTATTTATGCATACAGAACTGGGGTAGAGGCCAGAGGTGAGAGCATTCACCAGAGACAGAGTAGGGAGCAGAACAGGCAGATTGACAAAGTACACTGCTGAGAGGAACAGCTGGTGAGACAGGAGAGGTCTGCCACGCCATGTGGATCACTGCCAGCCTGCAGTGCTGCATCCTAACACATTGTGCCACCAGTGAGGGCCCATGAATGATTTTTAAAAACACATAGAAACGGCATATTTAGACTATCATTAAAAATTGTAGTGATTGGGCCCTCTCTGGTGGCGCAGTGGGTTAAAGCACAGCATTAGGAATCTAAAGCCACTTCAGTATGAGTTCGAACCCCACCGGCCCCAGAGGTGATCCACATGGCACAGCAGACCTCTCCTGACCCGCCCACTGCTCCCCTCAGTAGTGTACTTCGGCAGTCAGCCTGCTCTGCTCCCTACTCTGCTGTCTCTGGTGAACCCTTTCACTGCCCCTGCACCTTTGGCCTGTACCCCAGTTCTGTATGCAAAAATAAATAAATCTTTAAAAATAAAAAAATTGAAGTGATTGTTACAATTTCCTTAAGCTAAACAGAGAAAAGTTTTCCATGTAAAGCAGTGGTTAATGTATTCTATTGTGTTGCTTCTTAAACTGTACTCAAAATTGTCTGGAAATTGTCAATAAAACAGCACCCATTTCTTTTGACTTGCCTGTCTTCTTCTTGACTTACCTGTCTTCTCTTGACTAACTTGTCATCTTTGAGCCAGTTACTCATGATTGCAAGTGTTGAATGGTTTTTACTCTAAAAACCAAAGGAAACCACAAGGCCCATGAAGAATTCAATAGTAATTGTTGTTACACTTTATATCACTTGAAAATAGATAATGCTCTAATAGATAATGAGTAATCTTGCCTGTTAGAATGTTTTGCTTTTATGAATTTGATAGTGTATTGTATGTTTTAATTTATGGGCCCTAAAGTTTTCTATGTGGTTGTAGTAGGTCATTGTAATATACATTTTCATTGCTCTGCGCATAGCTTGTTTCCTCCTACTTAAACACTAATCTGATTTCCAACTGAAGACCTGACCAAAAAAAAAAAAAAAATGCTGAACCTCATGTCTCACTGTAGCCCTACTAAATTAGAATTAGAACGATTTCCAAATGTTTTATATGTATATTTATGTTTGAGAAGAAAAGTCTAAAGGATGCAAGCTAACATTTTAAGGGCAACCACTAGTAGAAATTGTTAGTACGGTTGGTTTGATGTTGTTAGATATGCCACTGAGAGATCATTAAATATATGTATTCTTGTTTCATAGCCAAAGAAAAAGAAAAATATCTCCCATGATACTTTTGGTACAACTTACGGAAGAATTCATATGCAGAAGCAAGACCTAAGCAAACTGCAAACCAGGAAAATGAAGGGGTTGAAGAAACGACCTGCAGAAAGAATAACAGAAGACCCGGAGGAAAAATCAAAGAGAGTTAAAAAAAATTGATGGAACTTAACAAATAACTACCTTATTATTGTAATCCATTTGCCTAAGAGAATTATCAAGCCTCATTTCAGAATTTCTTAAATTTTATTGGATATTTTTATAACTTGATCATTTACCTAAGCTATATATTATGAATAGTAATGTACTAGTATCAGATTGAAAGTAAGTCTTGTACTTAAAATATTACAAGTACACCTTGGTGTGCATTTTCTGTCTAAATTTCCTTCTACCTACGTACCCCAAGTCCCAATATCTCATTCTGTGGTTAAGTGAGAAAGCAGCCATTGATGGTTGTTTTTTAATTAATTGTTTTTTTGTATGTGGGGGGTGCAAAATGGACATTTCCTTAATTTGTAATTAATTATAAACCAGCCAGCCAAACTGGTTAGTGTTACCATGATGCAGCCAAATACAAAGCAACTTTCTAAAAATATTAGCATAATAAACAATTAAGGGTCCTACAAAATAGCAAATGGGGAAGAGGTAATCACAAAACATCCACTGAGTTTAATTAAGCCTCCCAATCCTAGAAAATATAAATAATCATTACTTCTTGGGCTTTTACTTCCTACTGTTAAGGTTAGAGTCTAGATTCTACAGATACTCAAACAAAGATTACATCTATCTATGTATAGCAGAGACACTTTTATCATGTTGCCCAGAAGAGCCAAGACTGTGGAAATCTGATTAGATTTCAATCATTCCTCCCAGCTAAGGCAATGGGTATGCGGAGAAGCAGTGTACCCTGGTAGGGATAAAGGATTCTAAAAGAAGGAAAGTCCCAAGACTATTATTATAGCCACTGCCCAAATTTAGCTTGAGTAATACACCCATTTTCACAGATCTTCAGACTGTGTGTTCATGGAGTAATTTGGGAATAAGTCCATGATTTTCTGGGTAATAAAATACTCAGCAGTCTCCTGTATTGTATTATGGCTTTCCCCTAGTCTCCAAGCAGGCATTTGTATTTTATGTGTAAGGGGGGAAGAAAGATCTAGTAATTCATATTCTGTCATTTGCAAAAAACAGACAGTAGTTGAGGAGCCACTGGGGGAATCAGCTGTGATGAGTTCATCCGCCTTCCCCAATGTCTGTACCCTAGTATCTAAAGCAATGGGTCTTACACACCAGCCACTTTACAGGAAGGACCCTGTCACTGCTTAGCCCCTCTTTAGCAGAAAGATCCATTTTAGCCGTTACTACATGGCAACTTCTATGACTTTACCATAAAGATGACCCATTTCTATATGTGGGACTTTGTCATAAAGATGGTTTTTGAGGTTTTAATAACCCTCTTATTTGAGATTTGATAACACATCCTTCTGGTCCCTGTGTGAATTTTATCTCTGATAGTAAGTATGTGCATCTACTTCACTAAACAAAGTGATGATGAAATGTAATTTAAAGAAATGTTGAAAAGTCTTGTCATTGTCAGAACTATTTGGAGTCCTTGATCCATTGTCTCTTATGTTTTGTTCAAGTTTTCTTAAACTTTAGAACACACTATATGTATATTAGAAAACAGTCATTCCAGGGTCCCCAAGTGCTATCAAGCTGAAATCAGCTACTGCAGCATGAGTTCCATCCCCAGCGAGGAGCTGACCCTCATGGCACAGCAGACCTCTCCTGTCTCACCTGCTCCCCTGAACAGTGTATTTCAGTAGATTTGCCTGTTCTGCTCCCCACTTTGTCTCTGGTAAGTCCTTTCACCCCTGCACCGCTGATGTAGACCCCAGTTCATATATAAATAAAAAGATAAAATTTTAAAAACAATCCACTAGAGGTGCGAAATTGCCTATCTTTTAATTTTTTTTAAGATTTATTTATTTATGCTTACAGAATTAGGGTGCAGGCCAGAGGTTTGGTGGGTGAGTAGATTCACCAGAGACAGAGTGAGGAGCAGAACAGGCAGATCTACTGAAATACACTGCTGAGGGGAGCAGCAGGTGGGCCTGGAGAGGTCTGCCACGCCATGTGGGTCAGCTCCCTTGTCAGAGATGGAACTCATGTTGCAGTGGCTTCAGAGAGCTATATAGTGTGGTGTTTTAACCCATTGCACCACCAGGGAGAGCCCTAAATTGCCTATCTTAAGTTTCACTTTGGACTGAGTAGATGAGGAAAGCAAGTTGCTTTTTCTTTTTTCTATTTTATATCAAATTGTACTAATACCAAACTATGATTTCATTAAATATTCCTTTTTTTTTTTTTAAGATTTTATTTGTGCATACAGAATTGGGGTACAGGCCAGAGGCTCAGAGGCGGTGAGAGGCCTCACCAGAGACAGAGTGGGGAACAGAACAGGCAGATCGACGAAGTACACTGCTGAGGGGAGCAGCGGGCGGGCCAGGAGAGGTCTGCCACGCCATGTGGTCTCCTCCGGGGCAGGCGGGAATTGAACTCATGCGGAAGCGGCTTCAGATTCTCAGTGCTGTGCTTTAACCCGCTGCGCCACCAGGGAGGGCCAATACTTCCTTTTTATAACTTCAATGTTGATTTTTTTTTTTTAGTTGTTAAACATAATGCAAAGTAGAATGTTATTACCAAGTCAAGAAAGGAAGGGGGTAGGTAACTTAACCCAAGCCTGTTTGTAATTATCTGGCAACTTCTGATCACCCTTTTATATATATATTTTTTGCCATCTTGGTACTGCCCTCTTAGGATGGGGGAGAGGGAACAAGGAAGGACTGACAGATGCTTTAAAATAGGAAAAAAAAAAACTAAAATTTGATCAGCAAAGAAAGGCTTTTTGTTTTATAGTTGAATTTCAGTTATCAGTTACTTGTCTGTTATAAAATTAAAAGACTATAAAAATGCAGGGTCTGGCCCTCCCTGGTGGCGCAGCGGGTTTAAAGCACTGCACTGAGAAGCTAAAGCCACTTCGCATGAGTTCGATTCCCTCCTGCCCTGGAGGTGACCACATGGTGTGACAGACCTCTCCTGACCCACCCACTGCTCCCCTCAGCAGTGTACTTCGTCGATCTGCCTGTTCTGCTACCTACTCTGTCTCTGGTGAAGCCTCTCACCGCCCCGAGCCTCTGCCTCTGGCCTGTACCCCAGTTCCGTATGCATAAATAAATAAATCTTTAAAAAAAAATGCAGGGTCTTATCCTTAATGTATGTTCATTAAAAGATCATAGAAATAGAATATTCCCAAATTTGATAAAAGGCACATATATCCTGGCATATATTATGAGGTATAGAATATTATTCACATTGAAATACACTGCCATAAACAAGGAGATAAAATAGACTTGTTGGCTTGTAGTTTTTGTTAACTGTAAGGTTGATTTGTCTTAAGGTTATGTAGTTTCCTCATACCAACAACCCAACTTGTTCAAGTTTAAAGCAACAAAGACATTGTGTATTTCTTATACCACGCAGAATAGGCCATGTTAGGTAACTTAGGAATTTAACTGCACTTTCCACCTCGAAACCTTTGGACTTTCTTTTAAATGACGTGAATGTGAGTCTTCCTTTCTTTTTAGATTACCAATGTGAATTTAAGTTCTATTTTTGTTCTGCTTAAACAATTTCCTTCCTCTACTCTCTACCAATCCATTAGCGCACACACACTCCCCCTCCCCCTGGGGGCTTCGCACTCACAGGTAACAAAATTGGTTCCACATAGCCCACACATCACAACTTCTTTATCCATTCATAACATCAGTGCACATTTTAGTTGTTTCCATGTCTTGGCTATTGCAAATAATGCTACTGTGAATTCAAGGATCAGATAGATACCTTTTTGAATTAAGTATTTTCTTTTTCTGGCTCTATTCCCAGAATTAGAGTTTAGTGGATCATATGGTGGTTCTATTTTTAATTTTTGTGAAGGAAATCTTTATTGGCAAGCATCAGGGCTCTGTCCTTGACCTCTGTCACCTTAAACAATTTTATCTTCTTAAATGAAGATGAGTCTCATTAAATTTGTGATGACACAAAGTAGAGAGAGGATTAGATGAGTTGAATGTAAATATTTGGGGATATAAAATGTCTTGGCTAGCTGGGAAAGTAGACTGAAGCCTAAAAGAGATACAGAGTAAGATAATACCTCAGGGGGGAAAAATCAACATAGTTAGGTTAATGTTGGGAGCTGACCCAGAAGACATGCAGTGTCAATCAACAGTGTGAACAGACTTCCAGAAAAGTCCACAGAAATTTAAGCTGCACTGACAAAAGTAGAACATTCAGTTCTACTGAATGAAACAGTATATGTGAGGTAAGACAAGAAAGCCTGAAAACAGCAAAGCCTGATTGAATATATAATAAAAATGTGGAGGTAACAGAGACGTAGTGTGCTCTACTTTGCCAAAACCACATCTGCAAGCTTAGAGGAAACTGAGCTACCTAGAGTGTGTTCAGAAGAAGGTGATGAAGTTTTTTCATGCCTTGCCAAATAAGAGGGAGCTGTTTTATCAGGGCTTTCACTGAACAAGATTTTAGCAGCTTAACTGGAATATAATTTATGTACAATAACATCTAAAGTATGTGACTTGGTGGATTTTGACATTTATATCATTGGTACATACCAGTGAAAACACTGGCACAATAAAGATGGTAGCATTTTCATTACTCCCAAACGTTTTTGCATGTCTCTAATCCTTTTTTCCACTACCACAAATCCTAGGCAACCACTGATCTGCCTTCTGTTACTGTAGAAATGATATTTTCTAGAATTTTAAGATGAAAGAAGAATAGAACTCTTGCGACTGGCTCCTTTGACGCAGCATGAAGGTATTGAAGTACTTGTCTGTTAGTTGTGTTATGTTTTGTCTGTCCCAGTGTTCAATAATGGTAGAAAATAAATCAGTTTATTCTTCATCATAGTATGTGGCTTAAAAAACACCAGATGCAGGCCCTTCCTGATGGTGCAATAGGTTAAAGCACAGTACTAGGAATCTAGCTGCAACCACTTCACAAGTTTGATCCCCTGTCAGGAAGGTGACCCACATGACACGGCAAACCTCTCCCGTTTCACCTGCTGCCCTCCTCTGTACTTTTGTCAGTCTGCCTTTTTTGCCCCCCACTTGTCTCTTGTGAATGCTCTCATCGCCCCTGCACTTCTGGCCTATGCCCCAGTTCTATATGCATAAATAAATAAATCTTAAAAAAAAAAAAAGTAACATGCCAGCATCTAGCACATTTGGGTTGGTGCTATGTCCTCTGTGCCACCATCCCACTTCCTCACAGAGAAACTCGCCAGAGGTCGATATATAGGACTAGACATTTTCCCCAAAGTTAGGAGCTCCTCAAGCCCCTAACCTCTCAGATTGCTGTAGAGACAGTGTCTAAAGATATTAGGCTCTTGCTACACCTCAGTAGTTTTTTGCCTCATAGGTAGTTCGTTCCCTCAAATAGATGTACCACATTTTGTTTATTCATTTGTTTACAGACATTTGTTTCCAGATTTTGGCTATTAAAATCTGCTATGAACACTTATGCTACAAGTCTTTGAAAGGATAAATGTCACTTTGGGTAGTTCTTTTAAGACATCCTTCCCCCTAACACTAGGAGTGGAATGCTTGGATCATATTGAACACGTGGTTAGCTAGGGCCTGAGTGAACTGGAAAAGGGCACGAGGAGCTCACGTTCTAGTAGAGGGAAGAGGCAGTAAAACAAAAACAAATAGGGTAAGTTGAGAAAGTGATAAACGATATAAAGACAAACAGTAACAGTGACTAAGAAGAGTCTACTTTTGAGTGAAAAGAGACCTCTCTAAAGGTGACATGAATTGAATTGTGAATGCTGAGGAGGAAATGTATGAAGATTTGGGATTCCAGGAACTGGGAATTGTCGGTGAAGTCCTTGAAAGGAAAGTTTAATTTAAGAAGGATGAAATAGTTATCTCCAGGTATTTGAAAAACATTCAGAAGGAAAAGGCATTACATTTATTCTGTGAAATGACAGAGGCATGAATG